CCTGAGGGGACCACACCTCATCTTGTTATTCAAGGGAGAGTCTGGGAAGCTCCACCCCACCTCGGTGACCCCCCTCTCCCCCTATAATCCTGTCTGTTCTCCCCTGTCTCCAACTCTCTGCCTCCCACCAGGGCCCTGCCTTCGTCCTGCATTTCCTATAAACAGGCTGGTGGGAAGCTCCTAGGCTGGACAGTTCCTCCCTGGGGATGACCTGGCAATGACCTCAGAGTGCCTGGCACCAAGCCTGGCAAGCCAGCAACACACTCTGCCCACCACCTCACCACACAGCCACCACCCAGTGCAGCAGTGCACTTGAGATGGCTCCCTCATCACTACTAACACCAACGTAAACGTGAGTGGAGGAGCTGTTTTAGGGGCCATGGCGTGGATTTTTCACCATTCTGAAGAGACACATGGTGAACGTTTCAGGTGAAAGTGACACCAAAGGGTAAGCAAGAGAAGTACTGTACAATTCTGCACACATTAGCAGTATTTTACTGAACATAACACTATGGAAACTGTTTACTATGTGCAAAGAAAAAACAACACACATACATTGCCGTTGTTAGTCTACCTGGAACTGCTTAAAGCTGAACCCTTAATGGTCTCTAAGTTGAGCACAGTCTCAAAACCTGGGCTTTTTATGCTAAAACACCTTTTTCAACACTCATTTGTTGCTACATGGCTATTTGGCAAGGATAGTTTTGCTGAGACAGCATTCCCAACACGAGCTTCATCTGTGATAAAGTAGTAACTTTAGTGTGCATGCACATATGCACACACACGCACACACCTACAAACACCTTGTTTAGGCTCAGAATGAATCATTAATGTGCCTTTTTTCCATAGCTTGCTAATGAACATGTTTCTTTGCCTACCCTGAATGCTGAAGTAGTGTCTGAATGAGGCTATACATTAATCACACGAGTGGAGGTAAGCCAAGCCTGTGGCACAGCAAACCTTTTTTTTAAGTTCTGCTTAAAATGCATGTCTGCTACTGTGGGCACAGTTCTTTTGTGGGCAATGTTCTGGGGCTATTCAGTCATTTTCTTCACCACAAAAATCCACTTTTTTCTTTGCGACACTACTGTACAACCACACTGACTGTTCAGTGTGTTCTTAATAAATCACTGCCATCATCAGCTAGGCAGCCTGGAACAGCGACAATATCAAGCTTTGAACGGAGTTTAGTGTAATATGTATACACAAAGACAGTGACACAAATCTCCACTGCTTACATGTGTTGTAGGCACACACGTCCAGTATATACACTCACACTCAAATAAACATAAAGCAACACCATATAGACACACCAAAGAGTGGCCCCAACAACAGATGCATCTCTAGGGGGAATGTGGTGAAGGCGAGGAAACAAGTTCTTTGCATCATTGTGAGCAGTGGGAGACCTCCAGCAGACAATGAGCCACACCGATAACATCGCTAGGAAAAAAAAAGCCCTCACTGAGGGACCATTGTCTGGGCAATTGAAGGGTTTCAAAAGTTGAGATGTGTATACTTAAAATTCACAGGAAGTAAACAGTGGGGAAGTCATGGTATAGTGTCTGCTGCATAATGTAGAGGATCTGGAGAAGAAGTAACCACGAGTTTTATGTGTACAGATTAGAGAAATGCAAACCGAACCTGTTTCTATCGGGGCAAAATAGTTATACAACCCAGAACATGCCAAATAAAATGGAGAAATAAATAACAGTTAGCTAAACTATAAACAAATAGCAGTAGAAGCATTTATCTTAAGCTTTTAAGGAAGCCTTGGTAGTGGCCTGTCTCTTTGGCTACACACAGGTCATCAAACACAACTATTTTATTAAAACTGGGGAAAAACTGTGGCCCACAGTGACTGTAGCATGGCACAGGCTGAGGTTATTTGGTACACTTTGACTCTATCACACGTTGCAGTAAATCTTGTAGCCCCTCAAGGGTGCAATGAAAGAGAAGCATTCAGGAGAGAGCTACTTTAATAAAAGCCCTCCTAAACTTAACCATAAGTGTCAGGTACAGGAGAGCAATTGCAGCAGAACTGCTCTTGCTCCCTTTCTTCTCTTCTTACCTCCCCCTACCCCCTTTACCTTATTTTATTGCTATAGTCTTTGTTTTCTTATGCCACGTTCAGACTGATCCTGTAAAAATGCAACTCCCTGCTGTGTTTAATGCAAAGAGCTGCGTTGGTCGGGGGGAGTTGCGGTGGGAGTGTTCTAGGTGTGTACACTACGGTCAAGCTGTGACGAATCAACCTGAGTGGCTTCATTTATGTTTCCAGCCCGGGAGTTTCCATTGTGTTTTGGTTAGCCATGCTGCTAATGTAACCTACTCTACCTTAGCACAAATTCTACCACCAGTGTGTTGGCATCAATAGATATTAAAAAAAACACAATTTAACATCCAATACTAAAACACGCTTGGCGTGTCATTATGGTGAGTTAACTGTGGCCTATATTTGACAGTGAATAGTAGTGAATGCTTATGCTAACAAGACCAACAAAAAAAAGTCTTCTTCTTGTGGGCGTACACATCCTGATCATCCCCCATACATGATTGGTTAAAGTAGCACCTTTGCTGGATGATGTCACTGTCCAGTGTGGTGAAAGTTGAACCAGATCAAACTTTTTCGCTGCACAGGGTTGCGTCGTTTTGCCAGAGCCCACCGCGGTGCTGGTGTTGGCTGCCGTGAACGCAATCCCCCATAGAAATGAATGGAGAGGGCTGTGTTTTTTCACACCTTTGAAACTCAGTCTGAATGCAGCCTTATTCCTTTGCTCCTTTTATTAACACATCCCTTTCCCTTGCTCTCTCACCTTTCTCCCATCCTTCTTCACTTCCTTGTGTGAAAAGAACTCCCCCACAGTTTTTCACTTTTAATTGCAGCCTATAATGACTTTCTCTAGTGTGAATGACCTGTGTTCAGTGAGCTACCTAATTGCCATTATATGTTCTATCGCCTCAGTCTTGCAAAGGAAGCAACGGCACCTCTAAATCTACCAAGTGAAAAACAGAGGTAAGCCCTCCCACAAGCATTGTCCATCTTCTCAAAGCCAGCAATGCCTGACACAGCAGGCTGCTCATCTCCCACTGAACACTCTGCTACCAGAGCTGGATTGGATTCCAGTCCAAGGGGACTTCTTCAGATAATGAAATCCAGCAAATATTTACATTTGACAAGTCTGAGCCAGTGAACATTTGGCACTTTTGTGTAATAATTGGCTTCAGTGACTAATCCATTATTATAAAATCATGGTTCTACTAATCAATTAACTGAATAATTATCTAAACTGACTAGCAAGCTCTAGTAGTCATGGATGAGTATTTTGTCTTTTTGCATTAAAGGCTCACCAGGTTTGTGGTACCTTGTGATGCAGAGTTTAGTTTTATTTGCCCAGATTTTGAGATACAGTATCTGCCTCTGTAATTTTGGCTTTAACTACAATGCAATGGAAGTGAATGGAATTACATTTGGGGGGCTCACAGCATTAAAAAAAGACATTTACAACATTTACAAAATTCAACTGCAACACTGTCAAAAGTTTTCATATACCATTTAAAATAGATTGTTATGATTGCCTTTTCAGTCTGCCATTATGAATTGGAATCAAATATTTCAGAGACAGGTATCACAAAATCTGGGCAGGTAAAACTAAAAATACTGGTTTGGCTTGACATCCACTAGATGTAAAGTGTAAGGTAAGGTAAAGTCTATGTTTTTGTAACTTGGACAATGCAAAACCATTTGAATTTAAATAAATGTTTACTTTACCTCTCAGTGTCTGCTTTCGATGTCTGGGGTTTGGTTTCAATCCCAGGGAAACTGTTCATGTCCACATAGCCATCATTTTCATTGAAGGCAACTGTTGTGCGGGTTGGATCCTCAAAAAACTCTGTAACAGTGTGGGATCTGGTGGGTCTGCCTGGGATCTGGATGTTTTCATAGTCTGAGCTCATGGCTGGGATGTTTTCATAGTCTGAAGTGTCTGCACTGGGGAAGGAGATGGAGCGGGGTTTGGTCAAAGGCAGTGGCATGACAGAGCGGCGAGAGCGCTCCTCGAAGGATTCCACTCTGGAGACACCCCTACCATAAGCTTTGGGGTCACCTTTTCTTCTCTGGTGGTCTTTGTAGAGAACAAAAGTGGATGGCAAGTCTGAAGAACACTGCTGGGGTTTCACCATGCGGGACTGGGGCTGAGGAGAGCTGCCTGTACTTCTACGATCAAGCTCTATGACTCTTATTGGGCCGTGGTGGCTGGACTCGGAGGAAGAACGTGAAGAGCGGACACTTCCATCGCTGAAACCTTTTGAATCTGTTTTCCTCTTGAACTTGAGGGCCAGGAAGCGCTTGAAGGAAGATTTCTTCTTCTTAGGATTGTCACAGGGTTCATGCTGAATCAGGAGGGATGGAGAACTCTTGGTAATTGGTCTTTTAGTGATGTATGCCAGCTCAAATGGTGGTGGGATGTCCACTAGAGATGTTGGTGTTGAAACACCACTGGATGATTGATGGCTACGCTGGCAGAAACTTCCAGAAGAGCTTATGACACATGGGAGTGAAAGGGTGTCATCTTTTCTATTCATGCTGAGCTCATCTTTAGGAGACTGGTCAGTCTCTGTTGGGGTGGTCACAGACAATTCCGGACCCTCTGCAGACCGGGAGTATAGCAAGAAGTGACGAGACTTCATAGATGGCATCAGACAGTTGACCTCAGGCTGCGGTGAATGGCTGAGAGCTTCACTGCTTTTATCCAAGGCCACGGTACAGTAGTCATGAGTCTGATACTCTGTCCCTGTCTCCTCTGGTACAGTCTCTGGAACATAACCTGGAACTTTCCCAGAATAAGAGCGTGACCGTGTGACAATTGTCTTCCGTTCCAGTGTCACAAAATTCTCCTCTTCGGAGTCAAATCCCGCCTCTTCGTATATATGTTCTTCGCTGTCTGAGTCTGTGTCTTCATAGTAAGGCACAATATGGCAATCTAGTTCTTCAATGTCTTCTTCAAAGGCTTCAGTAGTGTGGGCGAATACCACCCTGTTGGTGAGTTCCGGTGTGCGGCCCAGGTCTAGGTCTGCTGGCACTGTGATGTTGCATAACCTGAGGCGAGGCTGACAGCTTTTCCTTTGGCTGTGGAAGGCCTGTTCTCGTTTCGCTGTTCTCTCTCTTGCACTTTTTCCTTTGATATGTTTCTTTTCTGGTTCCTCCTCCTCATCCTCTTCACCTATCTCAACGTAATCCTCTGATGAGACACACTCCAACTGCTCAAAGTCATTTGTTTTAGGGTAGAGTGAATCGTCAATGTCTGCATACTCATCTGCTGACTCTTTGCCATCATCTTTGTGTGGATTTGACTGCTCAGTGACCTCCTCAGTCTCAGCCTCCTGTTCTGGAAAGGCTTGCTTATCCTCTAGCTTGTCCACATCATCTGATGACACATAGAAAGGTTCCTGGTTAGCAGCATCTGGTGTTTGGAGTTCATTTGAAGGTTTGTCATCAGTATCATCCTGACTCCACTCGGGGTCAGTGGTGCCGGTCCTGTTGCCCGGAACAGCTTCTATGACTGAATAAGGCCCAAACACATCCTCAGTGCTAGATGTGACTCGAAAACAGCCAGAGAGGTCCTTGGTGGCCCGTTCTGGTTGCCATACCCCTGTATCCCCTGCTTCGGCTGTGTCACATGACTCACATGTATCACTAGCATCATCTGTGGGGCCAATCACATCATAGGGATACTCCTCAGCTAGAGTTGGAAGCACACTGAATCCAAATGCAAATCCCCCAGCTTCCAGTTCAGTCTCTTCTGTGAGCAAGTCACAGTGTAAGTCGTCCTTATTTTGTTCACTGTCTGCTTCATTAAGTCCAGTATCACTGTCCTTATCACTCGGGCTGAGTGACTGTGTTTTTTCAAGGTTTTGTTCATCTACTTGTTCATCAGGGTGTCTTGAGGGGTCACAAAGTATTTCAGTCTTTTCACTAAAACTCTGTTCCTCCTCTTCTTCCTCCTCTCCTGTTTTATCCTTGGTTTCAATGAGAAGTGAAGGTGTTGACATATTCTCATTATCAGGATGATTCCCACCTTCAGCCTTGTCAGTGTTTTCATGTTCTGTAGTGTCAACAGCATCGTCAGCTTTGATTGTGTCCTCAGAGCCAATGCTCTTTGTGTCACCATCATTAGCTAATATATCTACTTCTTTTTCCTCAGTTTCTCCCTCTAATATATCCTCTGCATTGTTGTCTCCTGAACCAGTGTCATTAACCCCATTTTCTGCCTCACTTTTTTCTTCTTTTTCCTCAGCCATCTTGTGAAGATCTTCACTCTCCCCATCAGAGTGAGACAGGTCTCCATTAATGAGGCTCTGTCGAGAGCAGGGCTCTCCCTGTGGGTGAGGCTCATACAGGGGCCTTGGCTTGAGGGCTGCAGGAGGTTTTGGACCACACACTGGGGGACAAGGCGTGGACATCAGCCTGGACTGCACTTTGATAGTCAGATGACTGCGGACGTTTGGCTGAGGGACTTGCAGTGGATTTTGAAAATCTGTACAAAGAAATTAAAAGATAATGAAAAAGCCATTAAAGCCACACAAATAACATTTTTAAGTACTTTTAAAAACTATTTCCTTACTATCTAACAATAAACATACGTGCACTTTTTCTGTATATAATGCAAAGAGGAAGCCAAGTCCTGTGTAGTGGTCAGTGAC